GTCATTCGAGTTAACAGTGCGTACCCCTGCGCGGTTTGAAATAGCGATGACGACAAACGAGAAGCGACGCTCACATTCATTTTGTGGCGTTGATTTATGGTTTTCTAATGCCAGTGGCATTCGGACAGATAGTGCGTGCCCACGAGAATAGGTTGTCGTGTGTGTGTGTGTGTGTGTGTGTGNAAAAAGCCATCGGATTCTAATGTGTTTTACATATACGTTCTCGAAACGGTTAAGCTAAATCTATCAGCCACCACCAGTTGTTTGGATGTCGAAAGAATACGAACCACTTAGAGCATTAGTAATGACATAAAAATGGCCTAATAAACGCAAAATGCAGTATTTCACCCCCAACACCCACGCACGCACACACACACACACACACACACACACACACAGTGAGACAGAGGCATACGTAAACACATCGTTTCACATCGTGACTTTCCCGTTGCAGTTATTATAATGAACCTCGCCGTATTGATCATTCTTTGTGTGTGAGAGAGAAAAAACGGATTGTACATGATTCTCTGATCCTATCGAGGTTTCTGGATTCATATAGTCGGTTTTCAAGACCGTGAAACTATGGAAAATCGAACCTCCAGATCGGGTTAATAATGACAAATGAACACACCAGAATTGAGTATCCCTCGAATATCGACTGAAGCCACATTTTTGGCACAAATACATGGAGCATTTTTTCATCACGGTCGGTTGGGTTGATCCGATTCGAACTTGTTTGGCACAACCAGACCACCCCGCATTGCGGTGGTGTTTTGGAAGTAGGATAAAGAACGGCTGATGGTGTTACTTAAATTCTTTTTTGTTGTTGATATCTCCACGCCAGAAACTATTTTTAGACAATAATGAAAGATAACTTAGTGTTAGCTCACTATATTTTTACAGATAAATACACAGACGGAATTCACTTTGAAGTCCAATGAAATGGGTATGGGATTATAGCAACAATTCAAATATACTTCACTGTGAGAGTGACAGAGTTGAGCGACCAGTTTTCCAAGCACATGGTCTCTCGGTAACAACAGTCATTTGCAGTTCCTATTAGCAAAATCAGTACAGCCTGCTGTCGCAATTTCGCAGCACAGACGGACAGTACTGATGCTTGTTTGTGCGCTTCAAAAGAAAGATCCATGAGGATGTGGATCAGACGAAATGCACAACTCCCTAAAACTCAGAACTCGGATGAAACCGGCGACGGTCCTCAAGAGGTCTAGGTTACCGTTAT